TGTTGGTAGAACTTGTCTAGTGTAGCTTGCATTCCATTGTTGTCGTGAAAGTTAATCACCTCAAGCCTCTTCTGATACGTCTCCACTTCTCGCTGATAGTTGCTGGATTGCCGGCCGCCGCCCCCAGGAGCACGCTTTCGTCCTTGTGGCATTGTTCTTGAAGAGTCAGGTAAATGTGAGAGAGTGGGTACAGATCGATTAAAAATAGTCCTTCAATGTGAGATAGTACTTTTCTGAACGAAGTAAAATAGTTCTGCAAATCTCTCAACTTTAGGTTATTCTCGTGAAATGCGTTGTTATGATTGGCTTAGCGAGTGTCTGCTTGAAGATATTGTCCTGCTATACAAATGGTATACAGTACTCAAGCCTTAATCATTGGAGTAATTTTGGCTCGGAGTACCTAAATTTGAGAAACTCTGGATTGAAAAACCTGAGAACATTAGCGGTGGTCATCAAGTCTATGAGTACGGCGAAGGCGTACAAGTCCTTGTAGATCGTTTGTCAGCTCTGAGATACTCATGTGATCAAAATGAACATTTTGGAGATCTTAACTCACTCCAGATAGACAAAAGAACTTGCCTAACATGGAGGTATGATTATCAATGCCTGTTTAAACGTATGCATGTTATTTTTATTTATTAATACTTCCAAAAGATAATTCAAACGAAGAGCGCAATACAAAACTAAAATAACACGAGTGCAGCTCACATTCTCTATATGAATATCCAATTAACTCAGAAATGTTGTCCTCAGTAACGTGGTCGAGCTGATTAGACAACCGAATTATCACACAAACGTGTAATTTTAAAGCCACGTGCGTATTATTGTAGCGGGAAAAATGATCAGAGAGTGTTCACGCGAAATACGCAGTGATGTCAAAAGTGTTCTCTGTTATGAGTGTATCACCTCCTACAGAAACACTTCGTTACATAGTATGAAACGCAAGTGAGCCATCGACAAGCAACTACAAAGTATTTGTATTGCCCGACCAGCTCCCTCAGAAACATAAACACAAACCTCTCGTAACTGAAGATATTGTCGCTTTTCTCGGTGCTGTTTCTGGTGTTGGTATCTCACTATCTTGCTCTAAGCACATCCAGCAAGCGACCAAGCCGTTGTTTGAGCTGTAGGAGACATGTACAGCGACCCGCACGTTTTTAATCGTATTAAGTAGTCAGTCTTGGATTCCAATCCCTGAATGTTAGGGTGGTTTAACATCGCTGCAGCTACTACGATTTGCTTTGCAGTCTGATTCTAGATCTGATGAATGTCGTGTTGTGGAGAGCGGATACTTTCAGTATGACTGGTGTTAAATGTTTAGCAAATGCTTTTTCTGGCTACTTTTTAGTGATGTCCAGATGGATAGGAATTAGAGAGACTAATTCTTTATGACGAACACTGATGCACTTGCTTTATTTCGAATTCGTGCAGTAAGGTGATTCGCATTTTCAGCAACATCCTTTCCTTTTGTCGATTGATTGCATTGCAGCGCACGCCATTGCCGCCGATCCACCTGCTCCACTCTGCACGGAACAGACTACACCCTATAGTTTCATTCTGTGCTGATACAGACAGTCCAGGTGCAGTAGCCTCGCTGACTCGCGCGAATGAGTGTGTATACAGCATGACAACAACATTTATCGAAGCCACAACGGCATGAACTGCAACTAACCACCACAGAGGTAGTGGCCCTCACGGCGCCTTCACCAGAACGGACGACAATAATCATAACAGAACTTTGAAACGCTTGAGGCGACTTAGAAAATGCCGAAGAAAATCACAGCTACCGCGTTAACGTAGCACGAACGTCAGTCTCGGCTGTCTCGTTTATCTGTGCTCTCCACTTGCCTCTCGGTGTTGAAGTCTCATTTATCTGTGCCGCTCGCTTGCCTCTCGGTGTTGAAGGAAA